TTCACAACTGTCAGATTTATTATAAATCAATGAGCTAGAGGATGTGCTCCCATCTCACCCCTGGAAGATAGCATGTTTTTTTCATGTTACATGGCACTTGTCCTTTTATACAAGCCTAAAAAATTTCCAGATTATTCATTTGAATCAGTCAAAAAACACCTTTCTCCTTTCCACTTTCCCTCCTACGCTTGCTGGGTTGTACTGTACTCGTCAGTCACCTCTCTCCAAAGAGTTACTTATGCCCCTGTGGAACATGAGATGGAGGAAAGCATGAGACATTCTACTGGACCCTGCATCAGCAGCAGGAGCTTCAGCTGGTCCAGGATAGCCTTGATCTCAGCTAAGTGATGGTTCTCTCTTTTTTTGAAGCAATGGGGTTAAGTGACTTGCCCAGGGTCACACAGCTTGTAAGCGTCAAGTGTGTGGTCTGAGGCCGAATTTGAACTCGGGTCCACCTCACTTCAGTGCCAGTGCTCTATCCACTGCGCCACCTAGCTGCCCCCAGGTGATGGTTCTCAACAAGAGTTCTCACAGTCTTGGAAGAGGGTGGACACTGAGGATAAGTCCCCTTCTCCTTAGCTATCTGGCTCCAGCTCATAGTTTAACTTCCTAGTGGCTGCACGGGGAGGGCAGGAAAGGAGTAGATTCTGTTCAGTTCTTTTATTTCTCCCTGGTCTCCAGGAAGAAATTTCTCAGATTTCTAGCTTTAATCCTTGATTTCCCCCCACTTCAGAACACATCTACGTGTTCAGACCTCACCTTATAGATGAAGGTTAGGGATTGTTTCCTCTGTAAAACAAAACAAAACAAAAAAACACGTGCTTCTCATAGTTTTCTTTCCCATGCTGTAGAGTTCAAGAGCACAAGGTAGAATTATAGCAAAATTCAAAAGCTGAATCCCTGGGACCTCATCGACTTCTGAAGTTGTACCCTATCCCCTCCTTCTCTCTCTCCTCCCCCCCTTTTTTTTTCCTAACATATTTTTTTCAATCTCAATCCCTCCTTTCTTTCAGTCCATCACCAGTAGGGCCTCTCTTTTCTTTGTCTTTCTGGGCTAATCTTTAGCCCAATTTATTTTTTTCAGGCATTTCCCAGACCTCCACTCCCACTCCACTGTCCCTTCCCATAGGAATATGTTACTTCACAGAAAGGAAAGGTAGTGAGGAAAGCAGGAATAAAGAAATTGTTCTTTGCAGTCTACCATTTCCTCTGCCTCCCCTTCTCTAATGGTGCCTTCCTCTTTCCCCATCATATATACCCTATACAGAAGTTTCTGGTGTTTTATTGCATTTATCCATTTTCTCCTGCTCACATGAGGGACACTCAGTAATGGAGTTCATCATAAACTATGGTGATAATAAATGCATGTCAGTGCCCAATAAATGCTTGTTGTATGATGGTAAATACCCGTATATAACAAATTCTTCAACATTCTCATAGATGTGGTACTCCAGCAGTAGAGATTGCAACTGATCCCTTCTATCTCATTCTGTGCAATTCTGGTCCATCTTGTCTTATAAATCATTCACTAAGTATCCATCCAGTGGGCTGGAGGCCTTCCTCTGCCTTAAACCTTTTTTGGATACCATTGCAACATTCTGGCTATTCATCCGTTCTCACTCATTCTTACTCCATGATTAACCCACCTCTATTTTCTCAGTATCTCTTGCCACTTCTTGTGTGTAGCTCATTTTTCAAAATAAATTGCTAATAAAGTTGAGAAAATAGCTATTTGGATCCATCATCAATGATGTTCTATCAATTGCTTTTTCAGGTGAGTACTGTTGTGATTTTTTTCCTATTCTTTTGCCGTCTTCCCCTCCCTGAGATATTTTATAAAACAACCCCTCAGTATTTTCAAGATTGTGTCACCATCAGCATAGATTTACTCAGTTTATTTGGTCTGGGTCCACCTGCTCTTTCTTAAATGCCATTTCCTCTTGTTCATATAGTACTCTAGAGACTGAGGAGTTAGGGTCCAAATATAATGGATCCACTGTCATTAAACATACAAACAGATCATCACAGAAATACTAATAAATCTGTTTCATTTCTGGCCATTTTAAAAAATCCTGCCAATTTCATTTAGGAATGATTTGGGGATGATGTGATTCAGTTGGGTCTTATGTCAAGCTTACTTTTTCAAGCTTATTGTCACATGCACTTCATTTGCCTGTTTTATGAGGGGAAGCTGCTTTTAATCTTCAACTGTGCTCCAAGAGTGTTTTGCAAATTAATTTATATTCTAAACTGGTATTCAATAAACACAAAGACCTCAGCTATGAGGCTAAGGACTCAACATTTGCTAAAAAGTGCTGGGAGAATTGTATAGCAGTAGAGAAGAAATTTTTTAAACCAATACCTCATCTTAAACCAAAATAATCTTCAAATGGACACATGACCTAAATATAAAAGGTCACATTACAAACAAATTAGAGAAACAAGAAATTACTCATCTTGTCTATAAATGGGGGAAGAGTTCATAACCAAAGGACAGAGAGTAAAATGGATAATTTTGTTCACATAAAATTAAAAAGTTTTTGCCCAAATACAATACAGCTAAGATTAGAAGGGAAATAACTGAGAAAAAATATTCACAGAAAGTTTGATAAGGGTCTCATTTCCAAGATACATAAGGAACTAATTCAAATTTATATGAATAAGAATCATTTCCCAATTGATAAATAATCTAAGGATATGCACAGGCAGTTCTCAAGGGAAGGAAGCCGGGCTATCTGTATGTAAAAAAAAAAAATGTGCTCCAAATCACTAGTATTCAGAGAAAGGCAAATTAAAGTATTTCTGAGGTTCCATGTCACAGCCATCAGATAGGCAAAACTGACACAAAATTACAAATGCAGGAAAACAGGTACATTGATGCACTGTTGGTGGAACTGTGAGTGGGTCCAGCTATTCCGGAAAGCATGTACAAAAAGCTCCTAGTGTATATTTTTTGACTCAGATATACCGTTGCTTATGAGGTGCCAAAAAAAATTTTAAGAGGAAAAGAACCAATTTGTACAAAAGTAAAGCAGCTTTTTGTGGCAAAAGAAGACTAAGAGGATGCCTATCAGCTACAGAACTAGGTAACAGACTTGATCATTGTGGGAATATGCTGCACTTCGATTCTGTTATTTCTTTTCAGTTGGTGGAGGAAGATAGAAGAGTGAAAATGAATGCTTGATCATTGGGGAAAATTTTTTAAAAAATAAACTGGTATTCATTTTGGCTGCCATGTCTCTCTCCTTGGCAAAGAGATTGAGAATTTATAGTTGAAGCAATTTCTAGATTCTTTGACCTCCTCAGTGTGGCAACTACTTTATGTTGGCTAAACTTCTATAGAAAACCAAAGTCAATAGATTTGCTTTTTCCATTTCTCACTTTTTGGCAAGCACAGCTTGTTTGAACTGGTCAGGTTTAAGCTGCTGCAGTTATATAGTGTCTTCTTATCTTTATCTGATATTGATTTTCACCTTTTCTCTAGTTGCTGTGATCACACAAGCTAATTCTGATATGATGCCTACATAAATAACTATGCAGCTCCTATCAAGATATGACATTTTGTTTTCTGCAGTGTTTTCCAGTACTTGCCATGTCCAACACCTGACTGCTCTTTTTTTGGACGAAAATGTTTAATATATAGCTATTAAGCTTCTAAGTAATCTATAAAACCTTAGCCTCTCTTTTCCCAGACCTGAGCCATATTTTCCAACATATTTGCTATGGAGGATCTTTTATATTATATATATAATATATAATATATATCTTTTTATTTCTCATTAACATCTACAACAGATGTTGGTACATAAGTTAGATATCATAAGGGTGGTCGTTTTGATTGTATCATTGTGAGTACTGCATTACTAAGTGTCCCATGAAATGTTTCTACCATCCAATACAATCCAAAAGCATTCAGTGAGAGCCTACTAAGTTCTAAATGCTGGGGTAACCTATGAAATGAAGCATTCCATATAAACTAATATGTCCAAAATAATTTGAGGATGAACCATGATCCGGAAAAGTAGCCCTAGGAGATGGCACACAAGTTGAACTTTGAAAGACTCTTAAAAGGTAGAGACGAAACTAGAGTGCATTTAAAGGACTTAAAAGGATTCTAGGGATTCTTAAAAGGTAGAGACAAGGCTGGAGTGCATTTCAGGTGTGTGTGTGAGGGGGGACCAGAAGTTCCCAAAGTGGATGATACCACACTCTGAGGGGTGCTGGAACAATATGGGGGGTGCTTTTAGCCTTGGGTGGAATTGGGGGGGCATTGAACAAAAATAAGGGGGCAGTGGAAGCATAAGGGAAGAAGATAACAAAATTTTGAAAAACCTTTCATACATCTGTTGTATAACAGAGTTAGTCGTAGTGATCACATTATTTTCCAAATAAACACACAAAATGCAAGTTCTAACCAATCAGTGGTCAAATCTGCTAACAGATCTCAACAAGCAAGTGTTGGCAGGCAAGCATGTGACGACACATTGTCAGGAAGTCCAGCATGCATCTGCAGGAATATGTGTGTGTAATGACTTATTTATAATACAATACTAAACAGTTACATGATTGCAATATTGCATCATCAAAATTTCAATGTAGGAAAAAACCCACAAATTTACAATCAATTAGTACAGTTAAGCTGCGTCATTTAAAAAAAGAACTTACTTTTTAAAAAATAACTCAAATTTCAAAAAAAATTAAAGAGTTAAAGAAAGATTTCCAGGGGAGTGCTAAGTATTTTTTTTTTAAACGTGGCAGTACAACAAATAAGTTTGGGAATGTTTAGGGGAGACAATCCATTTAAAGGCATGGAATCAAGAGACAATACTGAGTTTAGGGAACAGCAAGTAGAGTGTTTGGTTAGAACATAATACTCATGAAAGGGAGTAATGTGCAATGAACCTGGAAAAAAGGGTAGTGTTAGATTATGATTGAGATGAGGCATTTCTTTAATCTTAGACAGGCAAAAGAGAGCCACTGAAGTTTCTTCAACAAGAGAGTAAAGCAGTTGGATCTGGGCTTTATAAGATTATTTTTGCAGCTGCTGGGAGGATGAACTGAAGAGAAGAGAGAACAGAAGCCAGGAGTCCAGTTAAGAGGCTGTTGTAATAGTCTAGCAGAGAGATGATAAGGGGCTGACCTAAGATAGTAGCTGGGTGGGGAGAGAGACAGGAAAGAAACAGGTAAAAGTGACAAGACTACACAAGTGACTGAATATGGCAGGTGAAGGGAGGGGAAGAATTAACAAGACTCACGACGGACTGGATGTTGGTTGTCACTTAAAGCCTTCACAACCAAGCTCCACTTACCCTTGGCCTGCATTACCCCCTCTCTGAACTCTACATTCTACCTAGTATGGTTTCCTGACCTTGCCTCATCCCCATGCCTTTGCCCAAGTGATGCCCCTTGCCTGGACTCCTCCCTAAGCCCTTTTCTGCCACCCCCAAAGAATCCCCTTAAAGTTCCCATTCAAGTGTCCCCAGACTCTACATGAAGTTCCAGCCCTGCTAGGACTACGCCACCAACAAAAATAAATTACTTTGTGTCTGTTTTGTATATACTTGTATATTTTTTGTGAACTCAAAAACATTTTGTCTCCACCCAAAAGAATTTAAGCTTCTTAGAGGCACAGACTGTTTCATTTCTGTCTTCACATCCCCAGCACCTAGTACAGTAGATACAAAATAAATGCTTGTTGATTAATATGGGAGTGATGGAGAGAGGAGTCAAGGATGACAACCGGAAGGGTGGTGATGCCCTCAGCAGAACAGGAAGGCTGGGTTTGAAACTGATTCTGCCAACTCCTTTGCCTCTCTGTGGAAAACTTGTGAGGCATCCTTCCATTTAACAGGAACTTCCTTTTATGTCCTGGTTTCATTTTATTATGAGAATGTGAATATGTTGTATGCTGATTTGCTGATCATATCTATAGTCTATAAACTGTCATTCTTAGTACCCTCTGCCCCTTTTCCCATCACTTCAGTAGTAGAAGGGGGCTGAATAAGACCAAGGACCATTTTAAATTTTCCTTTGTTTTATGGCTGCATAACCAAAGTATTCGCTATCATTTTTCCTGCTTTCTCCACATCTTCCCCAAATATTTAAGAAGTGAAGATAATATACTTCAAGTCGTAGGTTTCCAACACAGAGAACCCAGAAGTACTCAGATATAACTGAGCTTCTGGCTATTTTTTAGAGCTCACAATCCAGAAACACCATGACCCAGTCACTTTCCAGAGCAGTCATGTCCTTTCCCTTATGGCCTCCAAATGCTTTGAAAACCAAAGCCAAATCATGTATCCTAAGCTCTTCAAAGGTAAATCAGTCTCAACTTCCCTGGAATGTAAAGAGTACCTCCCGAGGATGTAGAGGGCTCAAATCTGACTCCCAAAATGTTAGCTCCAATAGGGTCATACACTATAGTCATGTACTGTTAGAAATTAGGAGACCATTAGATGTCATTAGCTGATGTATAATAATCAAACTTGGCCTAGAAGAAGAGATAAGAAAATGCATCGCCCTCCCTTCTTGCAGAAGTGGGAGACTATGGGTATGGAACATTTGTATATATTGTCAGGTGGTTAATATGTTGGCTTGTTTTGCTGAATTTCCTTTTTCTTCTTAATTTTTTATTCTTTGTTACCAGGGATGATCCACTGGATAGTGCAGGGAACAGAAATACATTCAGAAATAGAAGTAAAAACAAAAGATGTAAAAAAAAAACCAAAACCAAAACCAAGGTCATTAGCTGAGAGTGATCATTTGCTACAGGTAGAATTTGAAAGGGAGATGAGGTGACAGCCACAGGAGTCAAAGATAAAACTGGTGGACAGGTGGAGGGAGATCATATAGTTCAAACCTACTCCTGAAGAATTCTTTCTTTTCAATAGGGAAAATGAAGCTACAAGAGGGAAGAAAAGAGCTAAGGCAGAGCTAGAACAAGAAGCTCGGAGCTTTAATTTTCAACTTAACGCTCTCATTCTACTTCCTTGTAACAGTGAGCTCCACTTAGTCCAATTTTTAACATCCTCGAATGAGGTGGGTGGTGTGAAGATGTGTGAACCCCTTTTTCCTTCCAATTTTGTCACCAAGATAATCCAGATCTCTTTCCTCTTATATTCGCCTAGAGATCAGGATCTTGGCCCACAAGGCTGTGCTGGACCTCAGTGTCCAGCCTGGTGGCTCTCCATAGGGCTCTCTATCCTTTTCAATACTAGGCTTTGGTGAGAATTAATGTTGAAAGTTAATGATTCTCCTCCTACAGAAGTTCCATAAACAGAGGAGACTCAACTCTGGGGAAATTCATAGATAAATCCTCTTAGATTTATTTATGTCATTTTTGTCGGTGTATACACACACACATACACACACACACACACACACACACACACACACAGACTTCTTTTTTTTAATACAATCCATATCCCATCCTGTTAAGGAAAAACCAATCCCTTGAGGGGCTCTGTTGGGCTTTCCCAGGATGCCCAACGGTAAGCAGGAAACTTCTTCCAACATTACCTCAAGCCGCAGCAGTCTCTATGGGTTCTGGGGTTGAACCAGGCAGCAGTGCTCCTGAGAAGGAAGTAGGGACAGGAGGAAACAATCCCAGCATGTCCAGGATTACAGGGGGTGGGTTTCCCAGGAGAATCCTGGGATAAAGGATAGGCTCCCAGAATTCCCAAGGGAAAGAGAAAGGGCAGGGGAATCTAAGGCTCTTTGGATACCCCCAAAAGAGTCAAGGGGCAAGAGGGAAACATTCATGCAAGGGGTAGAGGTATTGGAAGAGGGACACACAAATGACATGCACAACCCCAGACACCCAATCAGTTACAGATACAGACAAAGACGCACCCATAAAGGCCTTGGAAACGGGAAAGAATATGCACACAAAATAGGGTTATACACAATATGGGGACAGAAAGATGGCTTATACTTGCCTCCTTTCAAGGAGGTATAAATTAGCCATGGGGGCTGGGGCAGGGAGAGGCTGGGGCTCAGACCTAGGGAAATGGGAAGTGGGGCATGATTCCCAAGGGGCTGGCAGTCAGTCTCCAGATCCCCCAAGGTGAAAAGAGAGTCCTTTCAGTTTGATTTGGACCAGATCTTGGCGCTGCTGCGTAGCCTAGTTCAAGGAGAAAAGAAAGACTGATCATGAAGGGAAACTTCCAATTCTAAGGCCTCTAACACCTCCCCCAAATGATTGATTGGAGGAGCCAGATTTGTAGGGTTTAAAGCAGGAGTGGGGAACCTGCGGCCTTGAGGCCACATGTGGCCCTCTAGGTCCTCAAGTGTGGCCCTTTGACTGAATCCAAACTTCACAGAACAAATCTCCAAAAGGATTTGGTTCCCCACAGGTTCCCCACCCTGGTTTAAAGCAGCCACAATCCCTCACAATATGGAATTTCTATTGGGTAGGCTCACCCTTTCCCCTTAGAAGCTTTCTTGCTGGGCTGGCGCTGGTTGGTGCCTGGGGCAGGCTCTCTCAGCTCTGTCAGATGTTGCTCTGGATCCTGGGATGTGGCTGCAGCAGCTGCTGCTGTCGTTACCTTGATGGTTTTCTTTAGGTTGGCCACCTGCCAAGGTAGGAAGGATGGTATCATCCCACTCTACACTTTGCTCTCTGCTCACCATTTTCCATAGCTAAGTTCACTACTCCAGTACTCTTGTACAAACCTAACTGTCCTTCACACTCCAAGATATGGAACACAGAAGTTAGAGAAACTATTTATATATGGCCCCTTCCCTAGAGCCTGTACCCTGTTTCACACTCTGCTCACCTCACTCTCAATCTGCTGCTTCAGGCCCAGCTGCTGTTCTTTATGCTGGTTGGCACGGCTGACCTGCTCCTCAATGCCTGACAATACTACTTCACAGCCCATACACCTGCAGGAAAAGAGGGGGAAAAGGTGTTCCAGCAGTATTGTTGGGGTCAATGAATCTCAGACTTGGTTTGAAGGGAACCTTGGGTTCTGAGATCTAAATCTTAGCTGAGATGCAAAGTCCCACATTTTGAATCTTAGCAGTATCCCTCTGAGTCAACTGGGGAAGACCATGAAATTCCCTAAGAGAGACAGGGGGGAAAACATATATAAAATGAGAGATAAGGTACAGTAAGAAACAGAAACTGAAGGGAAAATGGGGCAAGAGATACTGAAGGGAAAGCAGAATAATATGGGGCCCTGGAGACGAGATGAAATCAGAGGGGATACAAAAGAAGAAACATGGATTGGGGAATGGCAGAGAGAAATCCATGAGACTCAGGAGGGCTACAGCAAATAGATGTTGAAGGGTGAATAAGACTTCAAGGCTGAGTTAAGTGATTGAAACTTCATGAAAAGTTATTCTTCAGGTGGCACCATTTCTGTACCTTTACCCCAACCATCATCTCAGGGACTTTGGGTCTAAACCATAGTTCCACACCATCTCTTCTTCTCTCCTGATACTATTCTCTTTGTAGTAGTGTGGGAAAGAATAGTTGATCTCCCTACTCCCAGAATCTTTAGCTCCACTAGTGCATACAGTTCTTTCACCTACTCCAGTTCGGCCATTTCTGAAGTTCCTCCTTTCTGCTCTATCTTGGGGCACCAAATCCTTTTATAAATTCCATCACAGAGATGGGCCTTACTGTTATTAGATAAAGTCTCACCATTCCTGGAGGGTTTGAGCAATGGAACTGAGGTCCTGACGCTGAATGTCACGCCCAATGCTATAGTCTACTTCAAGCCGCTGGTTCCGCTGGTCCAGGGAGCCTCGAAGCACATCTGCGTACACAGCCTCAATCACAAGGTCCTCTAGCTGCCGCACATTTCGTAAAGCTAGTGCTTCTAGAAGCACTGCATATGGAATACACTGAAATCAAAAAAATGGGAAGAATGGATGAAAAAGGGATAAATATCCTAAAGGAACCTATTTTCCATCTGGCCTGCTCTGTCATTCCCAATTCAGAAGCTGAAAGGAAAAGAGAGGGGACCTACCCCCACTTCACTACCATAAGAAGTTAGGGGTTTTAACCTTCCTTTTATACCCCCCTCATGCCTGTCTATTTGCCTAGGACATCAATACCAAAAAGGCTAAGTCCTCATGTAGTCTATAGAAGTGGGAAGTTAAAGGGTCCTAAGTCTACCCTCCTCTATGGGTATGTATAATGAGAAATGTTATGAAGAAAATGAGAATCACAGTTGGGTCAGAGATTCCCCTATTGCAACATGCTTTCTATAAGAGGGAACACAGAAAACATCATACCAGAAATTTTGGGTAAAGGGGTGGGGTTGCCCCAACAACCTACCTTGACCTTGGCAGCCAGCGTGACAACTGACAGATGTCGAAGCTTGTTCTTTTGAGCCTCTGTGAGGGGGGGCAAGTTCCGTGCTTCAGCTAGAAGAGCAAAAGAATGAACAGTTATGAAGTACATTCTATTAGGAGCTACTAAGGTGACAGAGAAGCTTAAGACTTAAAGAAGAAGACAATCACTTGAAAACATCTACAAGAAAAGACTCAAAGAAAAATGAAGATTGGACACAAGCACCCTAGAACAGTTAATGAAGGAGCTAAAAAAAAATGATTCTAAAAACAAAGTGAGTATTATAACATTAAAAGAGAATTAATAGCTTGATGAAAAGAGATACAAAAATCTCACTGGAATCTGATGCTAGTGTGGGCCAAGATGGCAGAGTAAAGGCAGGGAACTGCCTAAGCTTTCTCAAATTCCCTTCCAAACAACTTTAAAATGACACCTCAAAATGAATTCTGGAGCAGCAGAATCAACAAAAGGACAGGGTGAAACAATTTTCCAGCCCAAGGCAACTTAGAAGGTTGACAGGAAAAGTCTGTTTCAATGGCGTAAGAGTGGAGTACAGTCCAACATAGGCAGTACCTGGCAAGCCAGCAGCAGACTGGGCTTGGGAAGTCAGTGCAGGCCTTGGGGACTGAATTGGTGGCAGTGACTTCCAGAGCTCTCAGCCCACAGACAGTTAGGGGGCAAAACAACTGAAGGAGCTTACAGGAAACCCTTTGATAACAATGGGTACAGGACTCTATTACAGTGCCCATACAGGCATCTGGGTTACAGTCCCAGGATAAGGAGAAGCACTAGAGTTTGAAGCCACAGAGGAATAGGGACCCTGGTCACAGTTTCAGGGTGGAAAAAGAGTGCTTGTGGTTTGCTCACACACCAGAGCACAGGCCAGGAGAACAATGATCACATCTCTTAGATCATACCACCTTAGAAGAACTGAAAAACTTATAGGTCACCAGAATTAGTTCTGAAACCAGCAGAAAAAAACCTTAAGCTTGAGTGTGTTTCCCCTCCATCCCAAGAACAGAGCCTTAACTTTAACATAAAGTGAAGTAAAGAAACAGACTGGAAAAATGAGAAAACAATAACAACAACAAAAATAACCTGATCATAGAAAGTTACTATAGTGACAGGGAAGCTCACCACACAAACTTGGAAGAGTACAACAATGTCAAAATGGCTACATGCAAAACCTCAAAGAAAAATATGAATTGGTGTCAGGCCCAAAAAGAATTCCTGGAAAAGCTCAAAAAGGATTTTTTAGGAGCAACTAGATGGCACAGTGAATCAAGCACCAGCCCTGGAATCTGGAGGACCTGAGTTCAAATCATCCAGCCTCAGACTCATAACACTCACTAGCTATGTGACTCTGGGCAAGTCACTTAACCCCAATTGCTTCACAAAAAAAGAAAAAAAGGATTTTTTAAATGAAGTAAGAAAGGTCAAGGAAAACTTAGGAAAAGAAATGAGAGAGCTGTAAGAGAATCATGAAAAAAGAGTCAACTACTTGGTAAAAGTAGCTCAAAAAATACAAAAAGATATTTAAAAATTCACAGAAAAGGACTCCTTAAAAAAGTAGAATAGGCCCCTGGGGGCAGCTAGGTGGCACAGTGGATAGACCACCAGCCCTGGAGTCAGGAGGATCTGAGTTCAAATCCAGCCTCAGACACATAACACTTACTAGTTGTGTGACCCTGGGCAAGTCACTTAACCCCACTGCCTAGCAAAAACAAACAAACTAAAAAACAAAAACAAAAAAACAGAATAGGCCAAATGGAAAAGGAGGTACAAAAACTCACTGAAGAAAAATTTCTTAAAAATTAGAATTGGGCAAATGAGAGCTAATGACTCCATGAGACATCAAGAAACAATAAAATCAAATTAAAAAAAATTAAAAAAAGAAGAAAATTGGAAATATCTCATTGGAAAAATAGCTGACCTGGAAAACAGATCTAAGAGAGAGAATTTAAAAATCATTGGATTACCTGAAATCCATGATCAAAGACATTATATTTCAAAAAATTATTAAGGAAAACTGCCCTGATATCCTAGAATCAGAGGATAAAAAATAAATTGAAAGAATCCACCAATCACCTCCTGAAAGAACTCCCCAAATGAAAACTTCCAGGAATATTATAGTCAAATTCCAGAACTCCCAGGTTAAGGATAAAATACTGCAACAATCAGAAAGAAACAATTCAAATATTGGGTTGGGTTTTTTTGTTTTTTGCTAGGCAATGGGGTTAAGTGACTTGCCCAGGGTCACATAGCTAGTAAGTGTCAAGTGTCTGAGGTCACATTTGAACTTGGGTCCTCTTGATTCCAAGGCCAGAGCTCTAGCCACTGCGCCACCTAGCTGCCCCCAATTCAAATATTGTAAAGCTGCAGTTAGGATAACACAGAATTTAGCAGCCTCTACGTGAAAAGATTGGCTTGCAATATGACATTCTGGAGGGCAAAGGAGCGAGGATTACAACAAAGAATCACCTACTCAGCAAAACTGAGTATAATACCTCGGGGGGAAAAACTTGACATTTAATAAAATAGAAGACTTTTAAGCATTCCTGATAAAAACACCACAGCTGAACAGAAAATGTGATTTTCAAATACAAGATTTGAGAGAAGTATAAAAATGTAAACAGGAAAGAGAAATTATAAAGTATTCAATAAGGTTAAACTGTTGATATTCCTATATGAGAAAACGATACTTGTAACTCTTAAGAACTTTAATTAAGTCTTAGTCAGAGAGAATATACATATACAGAAAGTACAGGTGTGAGTTGACTATGATAGAATGATACCCAAAAAAAAATAAAATGAAAGGATAAGAAACAGGGATGCATTGAGAGAAAGGGGAAGAGAAAGGCAGAATGGGGTAAATTATCTGACATAAAAGCAGCATAAAAGAGTTTTTACAGTAAAGGAAAGAAGATGGGAGGGAGGTGACAGGCAATGCTTGAACCTTACTCTTATCAGAATTGGCTGAAAGAGGGAATAACATACACACTCAGTTGGGTATAGAAATCTATCTTACCCTACACAGAAGTAGGAGGGAAAAGAGATAATAGAAAGGGGGACCTAACAGAAGAGTGGGCAGATTGGGGGAGTGGTCAGAAGCAAAACATTTTTGAGGAGGAACAGAGTGAAGGGAAAGAGAGAGAAGGAAAAACAGAAGGAAAAAGAGGATGGGGGGTGAAACAAGGATGTCCATTATCACCATTGTTGTTCAATATTGTACTGGAAATGCTAGTTTTAGCAATAAGAGAAGAAAAAGAAATTGAAGGTATTAGAAAATGGAAAGAAGAAACAAAGCTATTACTCTGCAGATGATATGGTGATATACTTAGAGAATCCTAGAGAATCAAAGAAAAAACTACTTGAAATAATAAACAACTTCAGGAAAGTTGCAGGCTATAAAATAAACCCACATAAATCATTGGCATTTCTATATATTACCAACAAAGTCCAACAGCAAGAGATAGAAAGAGGACTTCTGCTTCCGGGAGCCAAGATGGTGGAATAAGAGGTGAGTTGCTCTTACCCTCCCTTATTAACCCCTGAAAGCCCAGAAAATATCACCCTAGGAGAAACCTTGGAACAGCTGAACCAGAAGAAAGATGGGGTACAGCAGTCTAGTAGCCTAGGTAGCTTGAGGGATTAACAGGAAAAGCCCCTCTTACTCTGGGGGAAGTAGACCAATACTGAACAAGAGGCGTCCCAGCAAGGTAGTGGAAAGCCCCACCTCAGCATACCAGGAGGAGATCCTGAAGCCCAGGTGGTGGAGGAGACAAACACTAACACCTGGACCCCAGAGTGCCTCACTGAGGGCGGGGGAACCAGTGGAAACCAGCTTGGGAAAACCACCAAATGCCTGGGCATTCTACAGAACCAGCTCTCCCAGTGCCTCTGCAAAACAGCAGCACTCCAAGGGGCCCCAGGCAGATAAACATCCTGCAACATCCATCTGAAAGGAGCTGAAGAAAGTGAAAGGAAGGAAAGTCCCGGGTGAGCAGGAAATCTCCAGGAGCCACACTACCCAATCCTACACCTACAGTTCCAGTGTTGCTGATTCCAGCCCAACACCAGGTAAACTGCCAGAACCCTACAGCCTCCACCTACCAACACTAGAGGCCCCAGCACACAAAGACAATGACCAGGCCCTAGGCTCCCAACAGAAGAAGCTTGGGTCAGTGACCTCTGCTCAATCTCTTTAAAGGCCAGGAAATAAGCAAACACCATGAACAAAAAGAAACATACAACAGATTCTTAGTATGGGAAGAGTGAAGATCAAGGCAGAAATTCTGAAGAGGACAACACTGTCAACAAATCCACCTCTGGAACCTCAAAAGGGAATATGAATTGGTCTGAAGTCCAAAAAGCCTTCTTAGAAGAGCTCAAGAAGGATTTTAAAAGTCAAATGAGAGAAGCAGAAGAAAACATGGGAAATGAGAGGTATGCAAGAGAGAGTCAATAGCTTGGATAAGGAAGGACAAAAATTAACTGTAGAAAACAAGTCCTTAAAAAATACAATTGGCCAAGGGGCAGCTAGGCGGCACAGTAGATAGAGCACCGGGGCCCTGAAGGCAGAAGGACCTGAATTCAAATCCAGCCTCAGACCAAAACACTTGACACTTACTAGCTGTGTGACCCTGGGCAAGTCACTTAACCCCAATTGTCTAAAAAAAAAGAAAAATACTATTGGCCAAATGTGGAAGGAGGTACAAAATCTAATAGAAGAAAACAATTTGTTAAAAATTAGAATTGGTCAAATGGAAGCTAATGACTCTATGAGACAGCAAGAATCAGTCAAACAAAAACAAAAGAATGAAAAAACAGATGAAAATGTAAAATACCTCATTGGTAAAACAACTGACCTGGAAAATCAATCCAGGAGAGACAATTTAAAAATTATTGGTCTACCTGAAAATCACAATGTTAAAAAAAGAGCCTGGACAGTATCTTTCAGGAAATCATAACGGAAAACTGGCCTGAGGTCCTAGAACCAGAGGGTAAAATAGCCATAGAAAGAATCCACCCATTGCCTCCTGAAAGAGATCCCAAATTGAATACAGCAAGGAAT